GCATGAGGCCCTGGGTTTGATTCTCATCACCACATAAGCAGAAAAAGCCAGAAGTGGTGCTGTGGCTCAAGTGGTAGAGCACTAGCCTTGAGCTGAAGAGCTGAGGGACAGTGCCCAGACCCAGAGTTCAGGTCCCATGACTGACAAAAAATAAAAAAAGAAAGAAAGAAAAAGCAGTGTATCTAATTAAAAAATAGATGCTGAAATTGTGTTGATACTAGCTTCTTATTGGGAGTCAAGTGCAATGCAATGCAAAATCTGAACTTAATAAGCCAGTCTTTGTATCTCATTTGTGCAGTTTTGAGGCTGCTTCTAGTTCTTCAGCCCCCAAAATGTCTTGTTAACTGGTTCTGGCCAAAAACAAAGGCGTGAGTATGATTTGGGGGTACTGTAGGAAATCATTGTACTTTAGAAGTATTTAAGAGAGATATTGGGGGCTGGGAATGTGGCTTAGTGGTAGAGTACTTGCCTAGCATGCATAAAGCCCTGGATTTGATTCCTCAGTACCACAAACACAGAAAAACCTGGAAGTGGCACTAGAGCACTATCCTTGAGCAAAAGCAGCTCAGGAATAGTGCCCAGAACCTGAGTTCAAGCCCCAGGATTGGCACAAAAAAAAAAAAAAAACAAAAACACCCACAGATATTGGCAAATTGTGACTAGTATCTTTAGGCCAGAAGACAGCTCCAGACCTGGGCAGACTTCTACACTAAGTCTATATGGAGTATACTTCAACTCATGGTCACATAACAAAACTAGACTAGCCTAGAATGGAAAAGTAGCCTGGGCGCTGGATATACTTCAGTGGTGGAGCACTTACCTAGCATGCACAAAGCTCTGGTTTGATCTTCAAGACCACAAAGAAAAAGAGAAGAAAAAGTAGAATGGGAGCTGGGTGCTGGTGGCTTCACACCTTTAATCCTAGCTACTCCAGAAGCTGAGATCTGAGGATTGAGGTTCACACCCACCCCTGGCAGGAAAGTCCTTGAGACTCTTATCTCCAAGTAACCACCAGAAAGCAAAGTAGAGCTATCTATGGCTTAAAGTGGTAGAGTGCTAGCCTTGAAAAGAAAAGATGAAGGACAGCTCCCAGGCTCTGAGTTCAAGTCTCACAGACCAACAACAACAACAAAAAAAATAGAAGGGGTGGAGGAAGAGGCAAACTACAGAATGGATGGAAATATGTAAATCATATCTGGTAAAAGGTTAAAATTCAAAATACATCAGGAAATTATATAATTCACCCAAAAAAGCCTGATTAATAAATGGGTAAAGGACTTGAATAGGCATATCTCTAAAGAAGATATGCAAATAGTCAAGCATATTAAAGCATACTCAACATCACTGATTTCACTTACCCATTAAAATAGCTATTTTAAAAAGCATAATAAGTACTTTAAACACTTGTTTTATGGAGAGAAATTGGAGCCTTTGTGCACTAGTAAGGAAGTTAAATGGTACAACTGTTATGGAAAACAGTACAAAGATTCCTTCATTCTATCCTCAAAAGGTTAAAAACAGAGCTAACATGTAATCCAGCAATTCTAATTCTGAATATATATCCAGAAGAATTAAGAGCAAAATCTTCCAAACATTTGTACAAACATATTCATAACCACCGCTATTCATTGTACCCGAGAAATGGTAGCAATCCAAATATTTATCAAGGGATGAAGAAGGAAAGTGAGATATACGTACATTGCAATACTATTTCGACTTAAAAATGAAGAGAATCCAGTCACATGCTACAACATGTGTAACCTTGAGAACATTATGCTAAGTGAATAAACCAGTTATATAATGTAAGCAAAAACTATAGATCACTTACACCAGATATCCATAGTGTCAAATTAATAAAACTATAGAGTTAAGTGGTGGTTGCCAGGGAGGGACTAGGGGAGAGGTAAATGGGGGAGTTGTTTAATAGATAAAGTGTTTCTATTTTACAAGATGAAAAAGTTCTGAACTGTTCAGCAAAAATGTAAATATATGTAGTCTACTGAACTATACTGTTAAAAATGGTTGATGGTACATTTTAAATTACCTGCTTTGTTACAATTAGAGACTAGAGATTCATTTTTTAAATAATTCAACTGAGCATCACAGTTGGGTAGGCATAAGGTAGCTTCTTATTTATCTGAATTCTGTTGCCTTCAGCTTCTGATCTAACCTAGGACTTGCTGATGTCTCCTGGAATGACAGTGTGATTAAATATACCTTCAGTTTTTTTAAAACAGGAGCTTTTTTCCTTCAATATTTAAATTTTTTGGCATTTCTTCATGCTGCCAACACTCTACGTCAAGAATCAACTATAGTCTGTAGGGTTAAAGAATGCTTTCTATTTTTTTAAATAATTATTTTAAAGAAGCAGAAGGGGAGAAAATAGAAAAAACCATATGGGAACCCACAGTGCTAGTTTTCTGACACCTGAAAACTGTATTGTTCATAACATGTTTTTGAAT